CCCCCATAGTCTTACCTGCTAGGGGGTTGTATGTCCCTGCACTCAGCCCCTCCAAATATTTTTTTCTTTCTCTATGGGTGGATAGACATTCCCTTTTCATTCCAGAAATGCAGGCACATGACTGCCATGGCTCAGGCTAGAAGCTGGGCGGGCACTAGAGCTGCCCTCCCTTCCCTTCCACAGCGCTGAGCTGAGAGGGGGTGTGGCCAGGCCCCTGCAGGACGCTCTGATTAGAGAGGGATTTAAACTCCCACGCTGCCTGCACTGTCCGAGGCTTTCTGTGCCCTCTCCCCACCACCCCCCACTGCTCAAAGGGTGGGAGTGCTGCCAGACCCCAGCCCTGGGCTAGTACTCTGAGGCAAAGAAGGAGTTTGCAGTGCATGCATCTGTTGATGATACTGAGCTTTTCCATCTCCCTCCTGCTGTCTGCAAACCTGACAGGGTTACAAACCAGCAAAAGGGCTGGGGGGAAAGCAGTGCTGATAAAACCACAGTGTTTATCAGCCCATCAGCAAAACAAAAGCCTCTCTCATTAGTTCAAGCTCTTCTTAAAACAACTTTTTCCAAGGAGGGATATTATCAGCTGACCTGCTGATTAGCTCCAAGAAGTCCTAAGCAAACATTGTTCTGTCTGCCTTCATCCGGTCCCAGTGAAATTGGAGACAGACACCTCTCAGCATTAGCTAGCATACCACATGCCTAGGATCTGTGGGGCTGGGGTCTGTGCTGTGGGAGATGGGAGGGAGGGAGTAATCCCTGCTTGAACAGCAAACAGCGAGAGAAGCCAGGCAGACCCTGCTGTGCATGCAGTCTCTCCCACAGTTCTGGCTAGGGAGGAGAGGAGCAGGGCTGACCTGTTCTCTGGTGCAGAGAGCACAGCTCAGCCCAGGGCTGCAAAGCATCTCGAATGCTGGGGGACTAGTTTAACTTAAACCAGGAAGGTGTCTGGGACAGACATTGCAGAAACCGGTTTGACCGCAACCAGTTAAGTCTGATACTACATTCAACCAGGTTTATCTTTAACCAGTTTCAGCCATTTTAAAACTGGTTTATGTGCACTGAACTTATGTTCTGTTACAGGTTTAAACCAGTTTCTGATCACTTACACAAGTTTGTGTGTAACGTCTGCTCCTAGCCCATGTGTTTCCAGAGATAAGCCCTCTTGCCTATCGTGTCAGCCCTGACCACTGGGAACCTGGGCTCCTCCAAAGCCTGGAGGACCACTGGAAACCTGAGCTCCTCTAAAGACCAGACCACCTCACAGATAGCCCCTAAAATACCTCCAAATCAGTCTCTACAACAGCACTGTCCTAATTGCTCATGAGTCTCAGAAATTTCTATATATTTCTTTCCTTCCTGGGTTATCTGGTATTCCTCTAGTTAATGGCCCATTGCTCTGAGATGCCTTCTTTATTGAGGGGTTGCATTTCCCATTTCAGGCAGACAAAACCTTGGGTGCCCATCCCAACACTAGTCCCTTCTGCCTGTGTTTGGGAGTGGGAACTGTTCTTGCCCTAGTAGCAGTTTTGCCTACTCCCTCTTCTTTAGTTCCCTGCATCCCTCAGTCCCTTTGACTAAACCATGTCCAAAAACATAAAGATACATATAGACAGAATAATATAATCCATAATGAGATAAAAGCAACATAACATCAGCTTTTTAATGAGATTACACACACCATATCAGTAAAACAAAAACAACACCCCATGAATACCCCAACACTGTGGGATGCATGATAGGGAACACTAGAGATTTTCAGTGAAACACTTAGAAAATATATTTTTTTTTAAACAAACATGGATAAAACAACTCCCTCCCCCACCTGAAATTTTATTCTGCAAACAGCTGAACCAATTTAGCTAAATGTTTTGGGTTTTTTTAATTCAGCCCAAGGCAGACATCCAGCAGGGGGGAAGCTCAGTTCTGCTTCATACATTGGTGAATATATAAGGCAACTGAAAACAGGATTTTCCAAGACAGAGGCATCCTTAAATTATAACAGCACCTACTTGCAGTCAAACTTCATATCATATTAATCTTTTTTTAATCAATCATCATAAGCACCTATTTAGGTAGAACAAGTGGATTTTGTACATGCTCACATTTTTAATTTTTTCCCCCCGTTTATCAGTTCATTCTGTATGTCCTGATCTTTTATTTCACAGATGTACAGAGCATTAGAATTACTTTCACTGAGCAGGGGAATGGAGCTGGCCCCAGATCTCAAAGCGATAGTAACCTAGAGAAGCTTTGCTCTATTTTTTAAGCTTTCCAGAACTCCATATGCTCTAAGTTAATGGAAATCATTTTGTATCCAAACAGGTTTTATTTATAAACCAACTCTTCTGCCCTAGCTACCAAGACCAACACATAATTTATCATCATAGATACAAGTACTGGTTTCTTTCCACTGATGAAGTTAAAAACATCCTTCCCTACCACACATCTCAGCTGACCAAGTTGAACGCCTCAAAATTTTCCAAGTTAGGAAAAGAACTTTAACTTGCATTCACCCCCTTAGGCTCAACTATGTACTGCTCAAACTCTCCACTACAGGAGCTGTACATACTCTGCTGTGTCTGTAGAGATCATAAAAATATGTGCAAATGCTAGTATTTTATGTAACTTTCAACAGTGATTTTTCTCAAGCACACAACTAGCTAATCAGTAAGTGCCTATTAAGCAATTAATGCTTTACTATTTAGTCAGAGCAAAGATTTAATCTTTTCCTGTACACTAAGTAAAATAGGGGCTATTTTACTAAGCATATAACAAAGCAATTATTAAGCATGCCACTGATGATCATTAACTACATATGAAATCTGAAATTTGAAAAAGAAACTTCAGTTTCAGGAGGTAAACTGCACACTCATGTTACTGGAAGTAATTTGAAGTGCAAGTAAACTTACACTAAAAGTATTTTGTTAGTCGCAGGAATTAATCAAAATAAGAGTTGTTCTGGAATTGCTCGAATCTTTTGCCCCTCACCCTCACACTACAAGCGTCCACTCCACCCTTCTCCTAAGTGAGACCACTAAATACTACTGACAAGTGCATGGAATGAACCTTGCTGAGACAAAACAACATTCAGTACGTCAATTAAACTAAAAAGCCCCACTTAGGGCTTTTAAATCTATGCACATATCTAAAGGGTATGGTCTGCTGATATGTCTAAGCACCATTTCTTTTAAATCAAAGAGTCCTGACAATTTCAGAAAGTGAGATGATAAAGCTCCCTGTCACCATCTAATTTTTCACTCATTAACCCCTACGTGAGGAGAGAGTACAGTTTTCGGAAGATTAACAGAATACCCTTATAAAAACATTTAGTGACTGATTACCTGGCTGTACATTTTCCTAACAGCTAAAATGGATATTAAACACATTTTTAAAGTGTCAAAAACCACTACAAGTTCAAGCACACTGTCAACTCTCAAATGCTTCAGTTAACAAAGATGCAAAAGACTGAACAGGTAGGCATTTGCTCCTAATGTTTTTCCCCCACAAAACACTGCAGTCACTGCCAAAAATATTTATCAACATTAAGAGATGTCATACAGCACATATTTTTTCTTTTTAAAATGTTTGCCAATACTGTCAGAAAACAGAATACGTCACCTATGAAGAACCACAATTTTTAAAAAGTTAATGAGCATACAAAATTTACAAAGTGATGTTTAGCCCTAGGTATTAGTGACCATTGTATTAAGAAAACAATAGGATCATTCATTAGGTAACTGATCACTTCTGAGGAAACAGAAAAAACTGGTACCTAGTGCATGAAAAGCCACCACCCATGCGCATAGATAAATGAAGAAAAAAAAAATCCTTCACTTTTTGTGTGTGTGTTCCAAGCCCCAGCACAGCTCCCCACTGGCTGGAAGCTGCAACTGGCAGCACAGGTACAGTTTCCAGCTGCCTAGTCCCAGTATAATTTCTTGCTGCCTGGGAGTATGCACAGGCAAAGCCCTCCAACTCAGCTGGATCCAACAGCTATGTGATCCATATCCAGCCTGTGGGCTGTATGCTGATGAACCCCGATCTAGATACTTGCGACTTAGCTCACTGTAGCATTCAAGTAGCCCCATCCTGACAAAAAAACCCACATGCGCACGTATTCTTTCCATCACCTCTCTTCACTGTACCCAGAATGAGAAACAAGTGTGCACCTGTATACCCACATATACTTTTGCACACTCCACAAGAAACACACCCCATAACCAGTACATCATGTTTCTACATGTTGAGTGAGACAGAAGAAAAGCTTACAAACATACTTGTCAAACTATATTTTAAAACAGACTAAAAGCTTCACAAACAGATAAAAAAAAAAGTCCCACAGTTTTGTGGAACATAACTGATGTAGATGTAGATTGCCATTTCATATGCAAATACAAAGCACAGTTTTACTGTCTGTAGGAAGGTGTTGTTTGCTTGTTTTTTACCTTTATCTGTTGCCTTCTGAGCATTGCAAGTTCCCTCATGTCTCGAAATGGTTGTAGCAAGTACTGATACAGTTCTGTGGTAGCTTCAGCAAGACTACTATAGGCTTCATCTTCCATTTGATACAGTTCCAGGAGCTCTACCATGCTTTCTGTATTCTTGTGTTTTTCCAGCAGCTGTGTGAAGAGAAAAATGCGGATTTCAAAGTGTGTTCCAACCCTCCTGCCAACAAGAATGACTGTCACTTCAAGATAGTGGCTGTGCTTGTGCTCCTCCCCCAAAAAATCCAGAACACGACCCACATCTTTTAGGAACTGAGCCAGCTATGTGATGAACTCGACTCAGCGTTCAAGGAACTCCCCACTGCTCACAGCTCTGCAGGCACTTCCTGCAAATCAGTGGCAGTGAAGACATAGCTATAAATGCGAATAGGAAGAGGTTGTTTCTGTGCAGAAATCTGATTTAGTTTCCACCTATTATGTCATTTTCATTTACATTTTTACATATTACCATTTTTTAAGGAACAAAAGTCAACCTTAAGTCAAGATTTTATTTTCTGGTTCTTTTATATAAATATCCACAAATACAAAAAAAAGTGCCACTGCAAATTCAAGATAACTGATTTCCTGTAAAGGATTTATAACTTAAGTCTCTGACTTTTAAAGCTGCTACACAGGCAGATTTCCCGGGGCCCAGAAAGCCCTGATGAAATCAGTTAGGCTCCACAGATTCAGGCATCTGCCTGTGTAAAGCGATCTGCAGAATAACTTCTATTCAGTCTTCCTTCCTATTCATATGCTTCAGCAAAATGGTTTTTCCTCTTTGATTGAGATAACAATGAAGCATGCAGAATCTACATATGTTTTTCATTAGAATATAAGAAAAAAACAGTGGAAGTTCTGAAAGCTTTGTACCAATACTAAATGCAGGGCCCAAGTCAAGCTTAAAAGAGTGCAAAACCTCTTCTGGAGACTAAACAGACAATCCTCTTGCACAAATCTGTTAAATATTTTTAATGTGTATCTGCTTCAAATCCATTTTGCACCTCTTCCTTGGCAAATCTGACCATGCAACTGTAACTGCCCTATGTATAAAGTACCTCAGTAATTAAGCAAAGGCTAAAAGTGTAAAAAAACCCCAAAAACTTACCTGAAATATTTCCACATACAAACAAAAAAGGATTATACCAAATTAATAACCTTTTCAGATTATTTTAGCCACAAAAAATAAAAATAAAAATCAAACGCTTGTTGTTTATGTTACTGCTACAAAAACCGTATGTACAGTTGTACTACCAATTTTCTCCAAATCATGCATATTAAATTATTTCAGATCTCAAGTCACATTATCCTAGTAGCTGAATTTTTAAATGAAGCTCCCAGGCTCCATAAGTACACCAAGCATAACAATATTCAGGTTCACGTGCTGGGCATCATTTCAGTACCTAAGCAGTGTCCTAATCTAACTACATAGATACTTCAGACAGCCCAGTCCATAAAGATGAACTACCTCCTCTTGACTCTTTTTTAAAATTTATTCTTTGCTCATCTCCTCGTATTGACTGACAACAGTAACAACATTCTTTTACCGCTAACATTAACTAAAGCTCAATGTTTCCTAACGTCTTAAAAAGCAGAGGTATCAAATCATCTGGCCTGCGTTGCTGCCTCTGGGCCTTGAGCCAGTCCCATACACACCATTAGCCCTGTGTGTGCTGAATGTAGTGCATGGGATCAGTCTGGCCTTGCATACTGGATCCCAGACTGGTCTGGATTGGGCCACAAATCAGCTGGACTATGCTCACCAGAGTGCTCCAGGCACGCAGCCATAATTATCAGCTACAACAATCAGAAGAAGCCAATAGCCGATAATGTCATTTCTCCTTTTATTGGTACCAATCTGATAGTCAACTGATATATTGGTGCACCCCTAATTTAAAGCACTACTTACAGTAAAAAACTAGCAGTCTTGCTACTGTTCTTGCAAGGGTCAGGGCCTTACCTTGTGTGACAGAGTAAGTCCTCCTGAAAACAGTGTCCAGGAATTATGATAACCCAGGAGACAGTGTCACATCAGGAAGATACACAAAACCTTTCCCAAATAAAACATGTATGAGAAAATATGGTACTATTTTTCTATGAGTCATTTTTAAAGCATATTTAAGGACTATGATATCGTAAAGAAGTTTTGGTGGACAAGTAGTACAAGAAGGACAGATTTACTGTAATCTAACATCCTTTAAATAGGTGGTAGGCAACCCCCAGCACCAGGTGCCACAGCATGGCACGTGAAGGCATTTTGCTTGGCATGAGCACCTTGGGACAGATGGTGGGGAAGGGGCCATGGCTGCACTGCCACAACAAGGACTGGGCCCCACACAGCTCCCCCACCATCTGCTCTGGCATACCAACATCTTAAAAGTTGAGGCTGCAGGTATTTTTGGCACTCTGTCCCAAAAAATTGCTTGCTTTAAATGTTGACCTGTTTGGAGGTTGAAAGAATAGGCACATTTATAAATAACTGTGTGCAAAACCAAAGCTAAAAAACTTACTGTTACTGTGTAACTCCAGAAATGGGGGCAGAAAAAAAAATCAACTGCAACACAGATAAAATAATATGGTAACTTGAAATGTTGTTGTTTTGTTTAGGGGTTATTTCAGACAGAGAGATATGTTGTCCAGACCTAGTTCTTTCTGGCCTACAACATCCAGTGAGGCTGTGCTGATGCTCTGTATTCTGCCATCAAAATCAAGGGCAGGGGTCGGCAACATTTTTGGCTGGAGTACCAAAGACACCCCAACCTTGACCCATGCCTTGACTTGGCATTCCAGGAGTCACAAGGGGCCTCATCCTCACTGCAGGTGGTGGGTACATGTGTGTCTGGGCAGACAGTGGTGGAGGGGCCGGGGTTATGCTGCCTTGACCCCTTCCCAACCAGTCACCCAGAGGACGGTGCACACCTGCCACAGTCACAGAGCCAGTGCCAAGGCTCAAGATCCCAGTGCTGTTGTTTGCAGCTTCCTGGTTGCCTACCACAGCTGGTCTGGGCTCTGGGCAGCTGCAGCAGGCAGCTGCATCAGGGTCTGGAGCCCTGGCACCAGCTTCATGGGAATAGCAGCTGTACATGCGCCTCCAGGCAGACAGCAGGAGAGGAGTCAGGGTTGCATTGCCCTGGCCCATTCCCAACCATTTGCCCCAAGATCCATATGCAGCCACCACCACAAAACCAGTGCTGGAGCTCTGGACCCCAATGCAGCTGTCTGCAGCCTGCCTACCACAGAGTCTGGGCTGCTTGCAGTCTCCTGGCTGCTTGCTGAAAGCAACCCAGGCTCTGTGGCCGGTGTCAGCTGCTCAGAGCCTGGGTCGACACAGGAATCACCTAGACCGGAATATGCTGAACTGCCTTTTTTCCCCCCAGTGGATGCTGACAGCCTGAGTGCTGACTGGACAAGTATGATGATGCTAGGTCTGGGTGCAGTAACACTGTGTCAGGTAGATCAAGTAAAGTGATTTGTGGGTGTGTTGTAAGGGTCACTGAATCCAGAGAGCAGACCTGCTTGACTCAATCCAGTACTACTGTAATTAACTTACTGCATCTTTTCAGAGCCCTCAGTAGCGAGCTAACATGCCAGATAATATGTCAGAAAGCTCAGAACTCACTGCTTATGCAGAGCTCCAGCAGAAACCACCCTGGCCGGCTGACAGGGACATGGTATCCCAGCGACAAACTTTTCACATAGACGTTGCAAGCCATGTCCAAACCATGGGCCATAGTTTGAATATCACTGCTATAGTAAAATTGTTGTGTCTGTCCAGAACCCCTGACAAACTATTTGATTGAAATTGCCTGCTGCATTTATCTGTCAAAGTATTCTAAAGGCTAGGGAGGTGTGGCACAATTTTTGGCAATCTGATTGTCTACCTGTAGACTTTCAGGTCTTGATTAAGCCAAGGAGGATGATCTCGGTGCCCATTTTGCCAATATACTGTCCAGCTATGGTGCTGTCTATCAACCCTTCCATTGTTGATCCCTGCAACAATAGTAATATGACTCGGAGCTAAAGGACATTATTTGCAGAAAAGCACCTTGAAAGGACTACAGACTGACTGAAAGCAATCCAGATGAGCCCCATATCCATAAGGAGAAGCATTCATCAGTCCTGGAGAATGTTTACATCAGTTTAAGGGTAGAAGTCTTGTGGGACTGTATCATGTGGTGTCATCTAGATAGGTAACACTGATTCCAACCACTCTTATAGAGCTAAAGTCTGGCAGGCTACGTTCTACGGCAGTGGTTTCAACAGGGGTATGTATACCCCTCTGGGTACTTAAAAGGGTCGTAAGGGGTACGCGGAATTCCTCATGCATGTGCGCAGCCACAGCAGAGCATGCGGGTAGCCAGGACGCAGGCCGGCCACATGGACAGCAGTCAGGTCCAGTGGGTAAGTTTGTTGTCGGGGAGAGGGAGTGGAGCTGGGGCAGGAGACAAATCTTGAGCATCCATTGAGGGAATTATGGAGATTTGCGTTACTACCCTGATCTTAAAAAAATGGATAAGCTTTTTGAAATGTCAAACTGATTATCAAAGAAGCCATTCTTAACGAACTCGCCAATGGCAACATCCTGTGGGACAGCCAGCATGGGTTAGTGGCGGGTAGGTCTTGCTTGACCAATCTCGTTTCCTTTTACAACCAGGTGACCTATCACCTGGACAAGGGAGAAGAGATTGATGTCGTATACCTTGACTTCAAAAAAGCCTTCGATCTGGTATGTCATGATCACCTCTTGGCAAAACTGGCCAACTGCAGCCTCGGGTTCATCATGATCCACTGGCTGGGGAATTGGCTCCATGGTCGGACCCAGAGGGTGGTGGCTGATGGAAGTCAATTGTCGTGGTTCCCCATGACCAGTGGGGTCCCTCAAGGATCTGTCCTTGGACCTATATTGTTCAACATCTTCAATGATGCGGACACTGGAGTCTGAAGCGGACTAGCCAAGTTCACCTACGGATACCGAGTTTTGGGGTAAAGCAAGCACACCTGAGGACAGGAGGGTGATCCAGGCTGACCTTGATAGGCTCAGGAAATGGGTGGATGAGAACCTGATGGTGTTTAAACACCAAAA